TCTATCACCCTAAATATCGTGATAGATCGTGATATATATATATAGATAGATATATAGGGCAAGCCGTCCCACTACCCCCAATATACCCGTGCACACTTCTAGTCTAACTTTTGGTAGTCCCACACAATCTTGTTTTGATGGTTTTAGGTTGCTCTATCTAATGCGGACCTCTTCCAATAGGTCTGCGGTGCAAGAAAGTGCCTTGAAGAGTTCAAAAGGAGTCGGAAAAGGATGTTTGGGACGTTTGTTTGAGAAAGTACAACCATAAAAAGGAAAAACAAAAGAATACCCCTCTCCCCCCCCCCCATAAGGGAACCGAATACTGAAAAAGATGATTTTTTAGATGATTTAGTTCTTTTATTCGATGATGTTGGTTTACTCGGTGTGGAACTACCACGTCATGGGGTGAGATCAGCCCGAAGCCGATTCCTCAGCGCCTTCGCCGGTAAAACAAGGCGGTGAAGCAAAAAAAAAAATTAAAGCCGGTCCCCTCGGGACGTGGCTCAATTGTGAAGATCCTGATTTCGAATCTGCGCCCGAAGCTTAACGCGCATTTTCTTATGAGACCATTTCTTTTCTAACGCGTGTTGGACCGCCTCGCCGTGCGCCACCATCTTGGCCTTCCGCTTAATCTGCTTTCGGGTGAGTTGCTTCGTGCGTTTCCGCACGGGGGCTTCCACCACAATGCCCCCCAGAAGCTTCGGTCCCAGCGATGGCGAGTCGCTCGTGGGGATAGGCCCTTGAGGGTTCTGGAAATCGATCGCACCGCTCGCGCTCCCATTTTGATCCATGGAAAGGGCGGCGTGCGGTTGGGTTATTCGGTCCATGTCAAGATCGCCCTCCATCTCGAACGGATCGTTTGGCTTACGCTTCGCGTCTTCGGCTTGTCGTTGGCTACGTTCAAACTTCCTCTTTTGAACGGTTTTGCGATGAGAGCGCTTCTTCGCCATTTGCTTCAACTTCTTCACTAGTTTGGTCATCTCGACGCCTTTTGTCTGGATGGGTTTAACACTTTTACAGGAGCGCTTTTCAAGTTATTAGGAACTAAAAAGGGTTGGGAGCAATAAAAGAGATCACACAAGGATAAAATGGTAGCCAAATAGAAACAAGGGAAAGGTGAGCCGGTGCACCACGTATTGTTGAATTAAAAAAAAAATGTTGTCGAAACACTGGAAGATCAAACTAAATTCATACGTATACAAGAAAAACATCATTTATTTGTTTTCCTATTCATCACACTTTCCTTTTTCCGCCTCCGTTTGGGCAGCTTATTATATTATACCGTCTTTCATCGATTTGGTTTTCAACCACTTATTGTACAAGTACGCACTAAAATTATCGCCGCCGGATTGCGCTTCGCCTTCTTTATTCGAGGGCATCTGAATAAGTAGATCCTGCTGATGCGGCCTAGGCTGATGCGGATTCGACGCATGCGTTTCCGAGGCGAGTGAATTCTCGGCCCGTTCGCCCACGCCCCCGGCCGAGGCCGCGTCTCGGCCGAACAAAACGCCATCGCCGTTCGCGAAGGCCGACCGCGCCAGCTCAACAGCGCAACTCAAGGAGTACAAATCGCTGGTGGCCGAGGAGGTCAGGGCCTGGGAAAAGATCACCGGGAAGTTCGGAATCACCGTGGCCGCCTGGGCGAAATGGTGGGCGAAGTTGTCCAGGAATTGGTGCAGTCGCCGGAGAGGGGGGTCGTTCGCGTCGTCGCGTCGATCCGGCGTGGAGCGATCGGTGTGGGCGA